GAAATGGCTTGATATTTCCACTGATCATTTTCGTTCTCAAAAAAAAGCCTAAGATTATTATTATTATTATTATTTCTTTCTTGGGTTTGTGTTGTATACACATTTCTTTCTGGGTACCAACCAGAGACCTAAGGTCAGAAATGGCTTCTTGATATTTTCCACTGATCATTTTCGTACCTCTCAAAAAAAAAGCCTAAGATTATTATTATTATTATTTCTTTCTTGGGTTTGTGTTGTATACACATTTCTTTCTGGGTACCAACCAGAGACCTAAGGTCAGAAATGGCTTCTTGATATTTTCCACTGATCATTTTCGTACCTCTCAAAAAAAAAAAAAGCCTAAGATTATTATTATTATTATTATTTCTTTCTTGGGTTTGTGTTGTATACACATTTCTTTCTGGGTACCAACCAGAGACCTAAGGTCAGAAATGGCTTTGATATTTTCCACTGATCATTTTCGTACCTCTCAAAAAAAAAAAAAGCCTAAGATTATTATTATTATTTTTTTTTTTGGGTTTGTTGTATATCTTTTTCTGGTACCAACCAGAGACCTAAGGTCAGAAATGGCTTTTGATATTTTCCACTGATCATTTTCGTACCTCTCAAAAAAAAAAAGCCTAAGATTATTATTATTATTATTATTTCTTTCTTGGGTTTGTGTTGTATACACATTTCTTTCTGGTACCAACCAGAGACCTAAGGTCAGAAATGGCTTTTGATATTTTCCACTGATCATTTTCGTACCTCTCAAAAAAAAGCCTAAGATTATTATTATTATTATTATTTTCTTGGGTTTTTTGTATACACATTTCTTTCTGGTACCAACCAGAGACCTAAGGTCAGAAATGGCTTGATATTTTCCACTGATCATTTTCACCTTTAAGATTATTATTATTATTATTTCTTTCTTGGGTTTGTGTTGTATACACTTTTCTGGGTACCAAACCAGAGACCTAAGGTCAGAAATGGCTTCATTTTCCACTGATTTTTCGTACCTCTCAAAAAAAAAAAAGCAGATTATTATTATTATTTTTCTTTCTTGGGTTTGTGTTGTATACACATTTCTTTTGGGTACCAACCAGAGACCCTAAGGTCAGAAATGGCTTCTTGATATTTTTCACTGATCATTTTCCCATTTCTCAAAAAAGCCTAAGATTATTATTTTATTATTTTTTCTTGGGTTTGTTACACATTTCTTTCTGGGTACCAACCAGAGACCTTCAGAAATGGCTTTGATATTTTCCACTGATCATTTTCGTTGTCTCAAAAAAAAAGCTAAGATTATTATTTATTATTATTTCTTTCTTTTGTGTTGTCTTTCTTTCTGGGTACAACCAGAGACCTAAGGTCAGAAATGGCTGTCCTTTTCCACTGATCATTTTGCCAAGATTATTATTATTATTTTTTCTTTCTTTGTTTTGTATATCATTTCTTTCTGGTACCAACCAGAGACCTAAGGTCAGAAATGGCTTTTGATATTTTTCACTGATCATTTTCGTACCTCAAAAAAGCCTAAGATTATTATTATTATTATTTCTTTCTTGGGTTTGTGTTGTACACATTTCTTTCTGGGTACCAACCAGAGACCTAAGTTCAGAAATGGCTTCTGATATTTTCCACTGATCATTTTCGTACCTCTCCCCTAAGATTATTATTATTATTATTTCTTTCTTGGGTTTGTGTTTGTATACACATTTCTTTCTGGTACCAACCAGAGACCTAAGGTCAGAAATGGCTTCTTGATATTTTCCACTGATCATTTTCGTACCTCTCAAAAAAAAAAAAGTAAGATTATTATTATTATTATTTTTTCTTTTTGTTTGTATACACATTTTTTTCTGGGTACCAACCAGAGACCTAAGGTCAAAATGGCTTGATATTTTCCACTGATCATTTTCGTACCTCTCAAAAAAAAAGCCTAAGATTATTATTATTATTATTTCTTTCTTGGGTTTTTTTATACACATTTCTTTTCTGGGTACCAAACAGAGACCTAAGGTCAGAAATGGCTTTTGATATTTTTCACTAATCATTTTCTACCTCTCCAAAAAAAAGCCTTTATTATTATTTTTCCTTGGGTTTGTGTTGATCATTTTTTCGATACCTCCTAAAAAAAAAACCTTGATATTTTTATTATTGATCATTTTCATTATTTCTCCTCAAAAAAAAAGCCTAAGATTATTATTATTATTATTATTATTTCTTGGGTTTGTGTTGTATACACATTTCTTTCTGGGTACCAACCAGAGACCTAAGGTCAGAAATGACTTCTTGATATTTTTCACTAATCATTTTCGTACCCACCACCAAAAAAACAAAGCCTAAAATTATTATTATTATTATTTTTATTATTATCATCATCATCATTATTATTATTATTTCTTCCTTGGGTTTCTGTTTTGTTTTGTTTTTGGGGGTTTTTTAAGCATTTCACCCCAAGCAAGGCGGGAAGCCACTAGGACGCAATGGATTACAGAAGATTTGGAACAAGATCAGATAGGAGTGATAGAGGAAAGGATGAGGAGAAGGATAGTGGATAGATCAAGGCAACTGGAGATGTCGATTGACATTACATTTGAATATTTGGAGATTATAGCTCTCAAGGAAACTGGAATAGGGAAGGGAGTTCTACAGGCGAGAGGTGCGAGACATGAAGCTATTGGAGCAGAAGAGACGGCTACATTTAGTAGTTTCGACAGTGAAAGAGTGAGAGCGGGATGTTGTATACACATTTCCGTCTGGGTCCCAACCAGAGACCTAAGGTATAAAAATGGCTTCTTGATATTTTCCACTGATCATTTTCGTACCTTTCAAAAAAGAAAAAAAATCTAACATTATTATTATTATTATTATTATTATTATTATTATTATTTCTTTCTTGGATTTCTGTTGTATACACATTTCATTCTGGGTACCAATCAGAGACCTAAGGTCAGAAATGGCTTTGATATTTTTCACTGATCATTTTTGTAAAAAAAAAAAAACCCAAAATTATTATTATCATTAAACATTTTTGGTTTGTGTTGTAAACACTTTCTTTCTGGTACAAACAGAGACCTAAGGTCAGAAATGGCTTTCATATTTTTTCACAATCATTTAGTATTTCTTTAAAAAAAAAATGGGCTTACCAGGTATCTCTTTCTTGAGTTTGTCGTAACACATGTTTTCTGGATACAAACCAGTGACCAATTACAAATGGATATTTTTCATTGATCATTTTCTTCATCTCAAAAAAGCCTAAGATTATTATTATTATTTTTCTTTCTTGGGTTTGTGTATTTTGATAGTTTTTTCTGGATCTTCAAAGACCTAAGGTCAGAAATCTTTGATATTTTGCCAATGTTTTCCCAATACCAAAAAAAACACATTCTGTTATTATTATTCTTATTATTATTATGTCTGGGCATTATTATTATTATTCTGTCCGTGTGGGTTTCTGTTTTGTTTTTTTTGGGGTTTTTAAGCATTTATAAGGCGGGAAGCCACTATTATTATTATTTGGAACAAGATCAGATAGGAGTATAGGAGGAAATATGAGGGAGAAGGATAGTGGATAGATTGAGATGTCGTTTACATTTGAATATTTGTTATAGCTCTCAAGGAAACTTTCCATCCGGGTTCCAACGAGAGACCTAAGGTATTGGAAAATGAGACTTCACATTTTAGTTTCCACTGAAAGATTTTGTTGTAAAATTTCCGTCTGGTAAAAAAGACCCCTAAGGTATAAAATGGCATTTTCCATAGATCATTTTCGTACTTTCAAAAAAGAAAAAATCTAACATTATTATTATTATTATTATTATTATTAATTATTATTTCTTTTGTATTTCTGTTGTAACATTTCATTCTGGGTACTAGAGACCAGGTTAAAATGGCTTCCATCTTCCACTGATCATTTGTTGTATTAAAACCCAAAACCGAACATCACAAACATTTTACATAGCTAAAGCCTTCGAGGGCTCCAATTTTAGTAAATGGAATATGTCTTCAATGAGTCAATCATGTTTTTCCAATCAATTTTAGGGATCCATTTCAAATGGAATTATTGATCTTCTTGTATTTTGAGAGTTTTTTTTTTTTTTTTTTTGAAGATCTTCAAAGATACATCACAATCTGCAGGGACTGCCATGTTAATAATAAGAAAGCACATTCTGTTCTTGCGGTCTTTGATCACGATGTCTGGGCGATTAGCTTTGATTATTCTGTCCGTGTGCATTGTAAAGTTATTATTATTATTATTATTATTATTATTATTATCCTATTATAATAGTGCTTGTCCCTTCTTTGTTCGCACGGCCGTTACGCCCTGTCAATATCTCATAAATGCTGGGCTATTTCGCGTGGAAAGAGGGGAAAAGACAATACATGGTTTCAGTGAGAAAAAGAAAGTAGAGAAGATAGAAATGAAAAGAGAAAATCAGATTTAGCTGATAAGAACAGATACTACACTTTGATCTCAGCCAAATGTCCAAAGAGCTATTGTATTTACTTGCCGTCCTAAGCTGGCAGGATGTGACCCAAGGTCGGTTTAATGTTGGGAACCCGACCGCGTGTACCCGGGGCAGGTCCCAAAATAGCGCAGCACCCGTAACATTTGGTTGCGCTGGCATCGATATTACTACCGATCTTTCCAGTTTTAGTGCAGTGGAGGGGAGTGCTGTCGCGGGAAGCTGTTTCCCGGAAGCGGCCACCTCTCAGTAATATTTTCAATTGCAGACTCTCCGAAGACAGAGACACAACTGAGTTGCGCCCTACCCGAAAACAGACACACGGCTGAGGGATGAAAATTTAGTTTAGCCGGCAGAGGGTCGATACTGCACTTTGAACCTAGGCAAAAGGTCGAGAAGCGATGGTAACAACTAGAAAATGCCATTTTTCAGATGCACTCTACCGACTGACAAAGCAATCGCAAAAAAGCCAATTACCATAAATTAAATAGAATAACATCGTCTGCTGAATTATTTTAAAATTATTATTAAGAGAAACATTCGTAAGACAGGGATTTGGCTAGAAAGAAAGAAAGAAAGAAAGAAAGAAAGAAAGAAAGAATAAAAGGACAATAGATAGCATGAAAAATGCAAAGAAAGAAAGAAAGAAAGAAAGAAAGAAAGAAAAAGAGTAAAAGGACAATAGATAGCAAGGAAAATGCAAAGAAAAAGTTAAAGAAAGAAAGAAAGAAAGAAGCAAAGAAAGAAAGAAACAAACAAAGAAAGAAAGAGATAAAGAAAGATTTAACATCCTATGCCAATACCTCATAAATAATGGACTATTCCGTTTCGATCGTGTGGGAAGCGGGAAAAAGTCATTATTTGGTTTCAGAGAGAAAAAGAAAGAAAGATGATAGTATAGAACTGTATGGACTATTCCACCTGGCTATACCAAACGTCTGTAGGGAGGGGATCTCTTTAAGTCTATAAAAAGGCAATGATATTCTCACCCTTGTCCTTTTAGCTCTTTTGCTTCGGCAATTAATTGGAGATACATCTCCAGCTGAGCTGGTCGAACTACCCGCTTTCGAGCAGAGAGGAACCCAAACGAGGCTATGCCGAAGGGCAGAGCCTTGTCTGGGGAGGTAGACAGCTACCCGACCGCGTTTTTTATGGGATCTGCGGGGAATTTTTGCCCGAGCCTACGGGCTCGGATACCCCACGATAAATTCGGCTTTGTGCCACACATAACCACGTGGGGCGGTTGACAAATATCTTTTAGCTCTTTTGCTTCGGCAATTAGTTGGAGATACGTCTGCAGCTGAGCTTATCGAACTCTCTGGCCGAAGGCCGAGAGGAACCAAGACGAGGCTATGCCGAAGGGCAGAGTCTCGTCTGGAGAGGTAGACAGCTACCCGACCCCGTGTTTTATAGAGTCTACGGGGAAATTTTTGCCTGATCCCATGGTCTCGGTTTTAGCCCGCATTAAAAAAGGCCTTGTGCCACATCCTGCCTCGCAGGGAGGTAAGGTAAATAACCTTTTAGCTCTTTTGCTTCGGCAATTAGTTGGAGATACGTCTCCAGATAATATAGTCGAACTCTCTGCCCGAAGGCAGAGAGGAACCCAGATGTGGCTATGCTTCTTAAAATTGTTAAGCTCAAATATTTAACCATCTGATAGGGGAATTTCTACGGACGCATTATTGTCGAAGAACTCGCCATGAGCTCATTCAATCATTTTTGAATATAAATAAGAAAAAAAAAATAAAAGTGGAAAGATATATATATATATATATATATATATATATATATATATATATATATATATAACAGAACACTACTACTTTGATCTTAGCCTAAAGTCCGAGAAGGGAGGGACAAGCAGTATTATGATAGGATGATTGTTATTGCAATAGTTTGTTAAAGTTGTTAAGCTCAGATATTTAACGATACGGTCGGGGAATTTCTACGGATATTTTATTGTCGGAAAAATCGCCATCAGCTTATTCAATCATTAATTACAGAATTAAGAATTAAGATTTATCAGAAAATCAAATAGGAAAACAGTGAAATTTTCACAGGTCTGTCTAGTTATTAATAATAATAATAATAATAATATTCGTTTGTTGGAGCATATTTATGTGTTCGTAGTAATAAAATATTTCGATTGAGAAAACTTTCCGGGTAGGAACAATTTTTTATCTACAGTTTATATAGATAAGTACCTTTTCAGACCTTAAGATACTGACTCGTATAAATAACTATAACAAGCATGCACATGACACATCCTCACGATATTTTTTTACTGATTAAGAACGTTCACTTTGTCCCCGAAGAGTGATATATTCTGGGAGGGTGGGTGAGTGACTTTAGTGACCCATGGGCGAATAGAGATCAGACTAATGGCGCCTGCAGTCGGAAAAAAAAGGTAGAAAAAAATAGACCTGATTATAACGAATAAAAAGTGACCCCGCCCTTGTCTATCCACTGCACCCACGTCAGAAAAGTCATTGACAGTGTTTCTCCTCTCTGTCTTCTATAAATGGCCTGATAAATTCTCTCCAGCACTCTTGTCCTATGTCACGGAGTCAAAGCGTATAAAGAAGACATCTGTATGTCATTTTTCTTTATTTGTTCTCGACGAAACATTGCAAGCCTCTGTGAGAGGAAAGATGTCGTCAGACTTGCAGCATCATTGCTGAACGGGTAATGACGTCAACGAGCAGTAAGAAAGAAAGAAAGAAAGAAAGAAAGAAAGAAAGAAAAAGAGTAAAAGGACAATAGATAGCATAAAAATGCAAAGAAAGAAAGAAAGAAAGAAAGAAAGAAAGAAAGAAGTAAAAGGACAATAGATACCATGGAAAATGCAAAGAAATAAAGAAAGAAGAAAAAATGAGTAAAAGGACAATAAATAGCATAAAAATGCAAAGAAAGAAAGAAAAAAAGAAAGAAAAAGATTAAAAGAGCAATAGATAGCATAGAAAATGCAAAGAGAAAAGTTAAAGAAAGAAAGAAAGAAAGAAAGAAAGAAAGAAAGAAAGAAAGAAAGAAAGAAAGAAAAAAGAAAGAGAAAACGTGAGAGTACAATAGATTACAAGAAAAAGACAAAGAGAAATGTTGAAGAAAGAAAGAAAGAGAGAGAGAAATAGGGTGAGAGCGTTAGAGGAAAATAGATAGCATGAAGAAAGAAAGAAAGAAAGAAAGAAAGAAAGAAAGAAAACGTGCATGCAAAATGCAAAGAGAAAAGTTGAAAGAAAACGAGAGGGAGAAAGAGAGAGTGAGAAATAGAGGGAAAGTGTGAGAGGATAATAGATCATATTAAAAATGCAAAGGAAAAAGTTTAAGAAAGAAAGAAAAATCAGATGGGAGAAAAATATTTAAAAGAACCTGAAACGTTTAAATTACGGAAGGTTAAAAAAAAAATAAAGCTAACAAAGAAAGAAAAGAAACCAAGAACAAAAAAGAAAGAAAATCAAAATACGTATCTGAGTGAAAAAGAAGGAAAGAAAGAAGGAAAGAAAGAAAGAAGGAAAGAAAGTGTTTCTTGATTTAGAAGACGATTTTGCGTAATCTATAAAACATTGATGTATGTCCATTTGCATCTGTATTGCTCTTCTTGATATAATTTTTTTTTAAGCATTACGCCCCGAGCAAGGCGTGAAGCCACCAGGATGCAGGGGGTTGCAGAAGATTTGGAGCCAGAGCAGATAGGAGTGATAGAGGAAAGGATGAAAAGAGGGATAGTGGATAGTTCAAGGTAACTGAAGATGTCGATTGACATTACATTTGAATAGTTGGAGATTATAGCTCTCAGGGAAACAGTAATTGGGAAGGGTGTTCCACAGGCGAGAGGTGCGAAGTATGAAGCTATTGGAGTAGAAGAGACGGCTACCTTTAAAAGTTTCTACAATGTAAGGGTGGGAGCGGGATGCCAGCCTCGTAGGGCGCTTGAATTCATGGAAGTCTGGGGACCAGTGAAAGCAGCTCATCGGAGCAATTACCATGGAAGTATTTGTAGAAAAGACAGAGAGAGGCGACGGCGCGTCTGTGAGAGAGTGACTGCAGACGAAACGCCAGATCATGGCCAATTATATTACATATCCGTCTCTGGATCTTGTCAAGAACTCCAAGGTAAAAAGAAGGTGCCCCAGACTATATATGGCAGCAATACTCCATGCAAGGGCGAATGGTTGATTTGTATATTCTGGGCAAAAAAAATTGCATTCTTTGTTCAAGTATCTTTAACGAAACCGCACTGTCTTCGTATTATTTCCAGACTAATTCTGCTCCACGACAGATTCGCTTTGAGTGCGGATAAAATTTGTTATGTGACGGAAAAAACGAATCTAGAAAAATGGGTGAAGAATGAATGAATGCAAGTAAGAGTAAATGCAGAAAAAAGCGAATGAAGACAAGTGAATGAAGACAAAGTGAATGAAAGCAAACGAATGAAGACAAATGAATGAAGATAATACATATGAAAGCAAAAGAATGACGACAAGCGAATAGACGAAGGAATTAAGAAAAAAGCGAATGAAGACAAGTGAATGAAGACAAATTGAATGAAGATAAAACATATGAAATCTTTTCTTGCACATTTATAAATCAACCATTCGTCTATGCATTAAATATGGCTGTCCCAGCAGGTTTGTTGTTTCTTCTAAATGTTCAGATGTTCTTGGTGAAATACAAAGTAGAACCTGCAATATTATCGGACTGACTGTCATCTCAGTATTTATCGTTCCACCCACGAAGACCGAATATGGCACAAGGCCGGTTTTAATGTGGGTATCCCCGAGCCCGTAGGCTCGGCCAAAAATATAGCCTTTGAACCCGCCTAGACGGGTCCAGGCCCTGTCTACCTCCCCGGACGAAACCTTGCCCTTCGGCAAAGCCTCGTCCGGGTTCCTCTCTGCTAACGCAGAGAGTTCGACAGGAGGCGTGCGCAGTCAAAGACCGCGAGACGCCACTCTGACTGGCATCTCGGCTTCAGGCACTTTCCCACTGCCGTAACGTAGCTTCCTGGGTACTTTTTTTTTCTTTAAATATTTTCATGGTAATTGTTCTGATGAGCATTCATCTATGGTATCTAGACTTTAAGAATTTAAGCCTTGTGCTAGATTGGCGGCAAGGTCTTGTCATTTTGACGATTGAAATAACAAATTGTTACTGTAAGTTTTATGCTAATAGTTTCCACCGGCATAAATTAAGACGTCCTACTGCAGAAAAATTCTTGATTTCGGCCAGTGGTTATTTCACTGTTTAATACGTGTAGGAGAAAGAAAAATAAATGATGATGAGGGGGTCAGTGCGTCGCTCGCCGGCAGGCCAGCTATTTTTTCTTCTTTTTCGGTCGCCTCAAGGAAATAGATTGCGTGGCTCCCTTTCTCAGCCGTTACGCTGGGCAGTTGTGAAACAGACACCAACTCGGCCGCGCCTACTTCGGCTTCCTCTTTGTACGTCCGTCTGTCTGTCTGTCCATACGCCCAGCTCTATTGCACTCAGTCCGCCGAATGACTTTATTAAAATGTTAGTTTCCTTTCGTTCTCACTTGTTCACTCACATACTCTCATACCGTCTGTCAATCCGTACGTCTAACTCTTTTACACGCAGTCCGCCGAATGACGCCCTGACCTTTCTCCTCCATTTCCATGTAGAAGGCTAGTGCGCCCGCGTCCAGGTACAATGGCAGCAGGCTATCCACATCGTCCACCTGCTGAAGTCTTGCCACCAGCCTGATCTTTTGACAATAAGATTAAAAAGGAAAACATGTATGAATAGAATCTCAAACACGTGTACCCAGTGAAATTAACGTTTATAGTGCTAACAAATAATGGCAGATAAAAAATCATTTAAAAAAAATCTGTCTATATTTCTGAGATGAGGTATTATGTACATTATTTACATTATTCTGACTATTGTCCTCATCTTTGTCGCCATATTTATTATCAACGTTTCGGCGCTTTAGTATCTGTCTATATTTCTGAGATGAGGTTTATTATTTCGTACATTATTTTTCTGACATTATTCGGACTATTGTCCTCATCTTTGTCGCCATATTTATTACAACTGTTTATTTCTGAGATGAGGTATTATGTACATTATTTACCCCTCATCTTTGTCGCCATTTAGTATCTGTCTATATTTCTGAGATGAGGTATTATGTACATTATTTACATTATTCTGACCTCATTTTGTCCTCATCTTTGTTACAACGTTTCGGCATTTCATTATCTGTCTACGTTTCTGAGATTGTTTACAATTCAGCCCTTCTTTGTCAGGTGGTTGTTTCGGCCGTGTCGAACTGAACCCTTTATTTCGCTCACTGGGGTAGACTGGGGTAGTTCCACGTGCCATGTTTGATGGATATCAGTTATCAGTTATCGCCTGTTAATTTTTCCCTCTGAAAGTTCCCCACGGCCTTATCCGGGTATTGAACTCACACTCTTTGGGTCTTGTCACTGGATCTAACCAACGCCTTTATCCACTGTAGTGTGAGTTCAATACCCGGTTAAGGCAGTGGAGAACTTTCAGAGGGAAAATTAACAGGAGATAACTGATAGCTGTAACAGATTTAATGCTTAGTATAGAGCTTAGAAAAAATTCGCAGTGTGTGATAGGCAAGAAGTAAGGCATGTAGCAACATCAGCACGGCAAAGAGCAAGGAAGGGCAAAAATATTTTAAGTCAAGTGATAGCGATTGCTGTAGGAGTCGTACGATTTTTGAATCAAGCACGGGCAACGCCGGGCCATGCTGCTAGTATTGCAATATTTTTTTTAATCATTTCACCCCAAGCAGGGCGGAAATGCCACTAGTGCGCAGGGAGTTACAGAGAGTGAATATAGGTCGAGGGTTGAAGAAAGGATAAAATATGAACGTGATTCAAGAAGACAGAAGATGACGATTGACGTTGCGTTTAAATTTTTGAAGATTGTAGTTCTCAAGGAAGCAAGTAAACGGAAGGGAGTTCCACTGCCGGGAAGAGCGAGAAAAGAATCTGTTAGAGTAGAAGTGGTGGTTACATTTAACTATTCCAATGGTAAATGTGTGGGATCTTGATGCTAATCTATTAGCGTTTTAAATTCACCTAGTCGGGGCACCAAGTAAAAAAAAGTTCATCAGAGCAGTTGCCATGAGATATTTGTAGAAAAGACAGAGGGAAGCCATCTTACATCAGAGAGAAAGTGACTGAAGTCAGATTAATTAAAGTTATTAAACTCAAATATTTAACGATACGATAGGGGGATTTCTACGTATATTTTATTGTCGTAGAACTCGCCATGATCCCATTCAAACATTTTCACATATAAATAAGAAAGAAGTGAAGATAAAAGTGGAGAAAGAAAGAGAGAGAGAGAGGGAGATTATATAAGAACAGATACTATACTTTGATCTTAGCCTAAAGGCCGAGAAAGGAGAGACAAGCAGTATTATAATCGGATAATTGTTATTGCAATATTTTGTTAAAGTTGTTAAGCTCAAATATTTAACGATGCAGTCGAGGAATTTCTACGGAAATTTTATTGTTTTTGAACTTGCCATGAGCTTATTCACTCATTAACTGAAGAATTAAGATTCATCAGAAATTTAAAATAGGAAAACCATGAAATTTTTATGGGTTAAAACTAGTTATTATTTTTTCCTTTGATTTCTATTGTATACACATTTCCTTCCGGGTCCCAGCCAGAGACCTAAGCTCAGAAATGGCTTCATGACATTTTCCACTGAAAAAAAAAAAGAAAAACATCTAAGATTACACACATTTTATATAGATGAAGCTCTTCGTAATGTGTGAAATGTACTTGTGAGTACATTTTTTTTTTGTATTTCTTTAAGGCATGGGCTACCAGGAATCTCTTCAATGAGTCTATCGGAACCTATTCAAATCAATCCGAGTGCTCCAACTACAACTGGAATTATTGATGTCCTCATGTGTCACATTTTTTAGATTTCCACTTCAAGAGCCTTGTATTTTGATAATAGATCCTTGTACTTTGATAGTAAATCCATTATTATTATTATTATTATTATTATTATTATTATTATACGGCAGATAGATAGAACGCAATTTAGGGAGAAAAAAATCATAGCCATCAGATATGCTTGTTTTTTTGTTTTTGTTGGGTTTTTTTGTCTATGAGGACGTTTATTTATTTTTTTTTTTTTTCATTTCGTAAAGGAAAACTGAAAAAAATTAACACATTTTAAGAAACGGAAAAGCCAATAAAACAATAAAAGACAAAGTAATGAGACAGAATTGCGACATAAAGAAAATTGATTTTTAAATACTAATGTCATCATTGGATAAAAAAAAAAATTACTAATATCAGGTGATCTTCGGTAAGAGCAACATCAAGAGATCAAACGGAAATCCTACCACCTGGTTAAAAGCAAGGGAGCGGCCATGTTGGTCCGAAAGAAAGTGACGACAGCAGACAGACCGGAAGCCACCTAACAAAATTTGTCCGACATTTGGTTTGCTTTCAAAGTTTAGCCATTTTGGGGTTGATTTTTGTTTGTTTTTTTTTTCACTTTGTTTCTTGTTTTTATTTTGAGTAGATGTCCAATGTTAAGCCACGACGTGTCTTCATTAGGGAAGTAAAATGAAGTAGAAAATGAGTAACATGGCAAAAATAAATACCAGTGTGTCCCAACAGACGGGACACATGTGAAAGAGTTCCGTATGAGTGTTGGAAATCTGCGAAATCTGCCGGCCAGACATTGTTAACAGAGGCTACTTAGAGTCAATGTTAAGTCTAATTAGATTTCCATGTCCTTTTATGACTATTAAATGTGACGTCATAATAAACTGCTAGTCACATCTCATGAGATCGACGAATGGAGTGGACGCGATTAGCTCTTGTCGGTGATTTAACTTTCATTTTTGCTCGTTACATATGAAACTTTTTCATGTTATTCATATCTATCTATCTATCTATCTATCTATCTATCTATCTATCTATTTCAGTCTCCTCATATCTATCTCAATCTCTTCATATCAATCTCTTCATATCTATCCCACGCTCCTCATATCTATCTATCTATCTATCTATCTATCTATCTTAATTTCCTCAAATCTATTTCAATCTATTCATAGCTATCTATCTCTCTTTATATATATATATATATCTTTATATATATATATATATATATATATATATATATATATATATATCTCTCCCTCATATCAATCTATCTAGCTAGATAGCTATCTAGCTATTCATTATCTATCTCAATCTACTGATATCTATCTATCTATCTATCTATCTATCTATCTATCTATCTTATAAGGGAATCTTCATTGTGGCGTCCAAACGAATGAAATAATGATCAACACAGACAGCTTAATTTATATATTTAGTAACGTCCTTTCTTTCTTTCTTTCTTTCTTTCTTTGCTCTTTTCCTTCCTTCCTTCCTTCCTTCCTTCCTTCCTTCCTTCCTTCCTTCCTTCGACTCCTCTCACTTTCCTTCCTTCTTTTCCCTTGCTTCCTTCTCGCCTTCCTTCCATCAATCTTTTTGTTCTTTCTTCATCTCTTTCTCCTCCTCTTTTCGCTTCTGAAATATTTTATATTCATTTTCTAAAACTATACTCCCAAGCCGACTCATGTTCGACCAGTAAATGTAAAAATTTATTCAGAATTTTCCTTTTATTCCATTTTTTTTTTTGCCTTTCTTTCTTTCTTTCTTTCTTTCTTTCTTTCTTTCTTTTAACCACCTCTTCCTTCATCTATTTCTCCTTCCTTCCTCCACTACTTCTTACTTCTTTGCCACCTTTCCCCCTTCCTTCCTTTCTTCTTCTTCTTCTTCTTCTTCTTCTTCTTCTTCTTCTTCTTCTTCTTCTTCTTCTTCTTTCTCTCCTACCTTCGTTCTTTTCTTCTTCATCCTCTTTCTTTCTTTCTTTCTTTCTTTCTTTCTTTCTTTCTTTCTTTTGCGTTGTTTCCTTTACTAACTGTTATGGTGGTACACCCCTATTCTATAGTTAATAGATTCTTCCACCTATAATAAGTAGGAGTAGTAAAAGTACCGAGTCAGTCGATGTCGGACCACCGGCTGAACGGTGGAACTCTCTGCCTTCGGGCGGGGAGGAACCCAAACAAGGCTATGCCGAAGGGCGGAGTCTCGTTCGGGGAGGTAAACCGACCCTGAACCTGTTTATACGGGTTCAAAGGGTATATTTTTGGCCGAGCCCATGTGCTCGGAGATCCCACGTTAAACCGGCCTTGTGCCACATGATACCCTCGTGAGGTGTGACTAAATACTAGTCGATGTCGGACGACAGTTAGCCGAATACGAAAGTAGTCAGCGACCACAACTAGATTACTCTGCGTCATACCTATTATATCAAGTTCCTAACGTTTTGTACGTCGAATCTATTTTTGGACCGATTTAGTACAAATACAAGCCTCCACTGTGAAAATCACTCCACAACACTAACTACCATATAATCTGTCTTCTTGCAATTGATGTTTAGTCCCTTCTTCTTGCTTTCCCTCCTTCTGTGGGAGTTCATTTCGTGGTCTGCTACCAACGCCGTGTCATCTGCATATCTTTTTTTTGTTAAGACTGTCGACGCCAATAATAAATCCCTGGTATGGACTTCTAATTCTCTCAGAATCGTCTCAGTGAAAAGATAGAATAAGTCTGGCGAGAAGATCCATCCTTGTCTTACACCTCTTTCTGTTTTTGTATATTTACAGAATTCATTTTCTGTCCGTATGCAGGCGGTTTGCACCCCGTATAGGTTTGTATAGGCCGCGACTACAGCACAATGTAGCCAACATATAAAACGGCAGCAAATAGAGAACGGCTAGAGAGACGTTGGAAGAACCTTAATGAAAGGGTTTAGTTTAAAGCAATGTTTTTGGCGTGTACTTACCAAGAAGAAAACACCGTTGGGAAAAGGTATGAGTCCATCTTTTCTACCGCTAGTTATTGGTAAATAGTAGGAGACACTGGATTCTATAGCCTTGGGTGGCAACCGGTCAAGGAGAAGGAAATCTCTGAATTTAAAACTGTATTTAACCCTGGCAAAGTACCTATACTAAGCAGGTAAGAAAAGAATCGTTTGCAATAATTCGATGATCCTGACTGTGGTCAATTCCTATCTATCTATCTAAATCTTCTCATATCTATCTATCTGTCTGTCTTTCTGTTTGTCTATTTCAATCTTCTCATATATATATATCTATCTATCTATCCAAGTTTCTTCATATCTATCTATCTATCTTCATCTGTTCGATATCTATCTATCTATCTATCTATCTATCTATCTATCTAAATCTTCTCATCTATATCTATCTATCTATCTATCTATCTATCTATCTATCTATCTATCTGTCTGTCTTTCTGCTGTCTATTTCAATCTTCTCATATATATATATATATATATATATATATATATATATCCAACTTTCTTCATATCTATCTATCTATCTATCTATCTAAATCTTCTCATATCTATCTATCTGTCCGTCTTTCTGTTTGTCTATCTCAATCTTCTCATATATATATCTCTATCTATCTATCCAAGTTTCTTCATATCTATCTATCTCCATCTGTTCGATATCTATCTATCTATCTATCTAAATCTTCTCATATCTATCTATCTATCTGTCTGTCTTTCTGCCTGTCTATTTCAATCTTCTCATATATATATATATATATATATATATATATATATATATATATATATATATATATATATAACTTTCTTCTTCATATCTATCTATCTATCTATCTATCTAAATCTTCTCATATCTATCTATCTGTCTGTCTTTCTGTCTGTCTATTTCAATCTTCTCATATATATCTCTCTATCTATCCAAGTTTCTTCATATCTATCTATCTATATATATATATATATATATATATATATATATAGTACATTTTTTGAAAAAATATTACCAGCAATACATTTTATGGTTTGGTTTGGTTTGTTTTGTTTTATCAACCTGAATGGGTTATTTAATGCCGACAAGGTTGTTATTGCTGGTAAGATTTTTTTATCTATCTATCTATCTATCTATCTATCTATCTATCTATCTATCTCAGTACATATTGGTTTGTTTTGTTTTGTTTTACGGCATATCAACAACAATGGGTTATTTAATGCCGACAAGGTTTTTATTGCTGGTAATAATTTTCCCAAAAATGTATTGCTGGCAATATTTTTCCTTCAAAAATCTATTGAAATATACTGTCAATATTTTTTCCCCAAAAAATATTGCTGCTAATAATGCATTGTTGGTAATAGTTTTTCCTGCAAAAATTCATCACTAGTAATTTTTCTAAAAAAAGCATTGTTGGTATTAAAAACCTATTTTTACACTTCCATAGTGTTTTGACCCTAGTTTTGAGGGTTAACTATTTGCCCATAGCTGGGACCCTAACAGGTGCTACCACCCCAGATCAGGGTGAACCTGGGAACACCAGCAATTAAGAGGTGGTTCCACATTCCTCAAAACCTTCTGACCAGAGGCCTTGCTGTTGAACGTAGTTTATCGTCTTACCCAGGGGGCTACATTTTTTTTTTAAATTACCAGCAATACATTATCTGTCTATATTTCTGAGATAATGTATAATGTAAACTATTTACATTATTCGGACTATTTTCCTCATTTTTGTCCAACAGCAAGGCTTCTGGTCAGAAGGTTTTGAGGAATGTGGAACCACCTCTTAATTGCTGGTGTTCCCAGGTTCACCCTGACTCAGAGTGGTAGCACCTGTTAGGGTCCCAGCTATGGGCAAATAGTTAACACCCAAACAGGGGACAATACACTATGAAAGTGTAAAAATAGATTTTAATACCAGCAATGCTGTTTTGGAAAAATTATTGCTAACGATGAATTTTTGAAGGAAAAACTTATTACCAACAATACATTATTACCAGCAATACATTTTTGGAGAAAAAAAAACATATTACCAGCAATACATTTTTGGAAAAATTATTACCAGCAATAAAAATCTTGTCGGCATTAAATAATTCATTGAGGTTAATATGGCGTAAAACAAAGCGAACCAAACCAAACCAGCAATAAAAATCTTGTCGGCATTAAATAACTCATTGAGGTTAATATGGCGTAAAACAAAGCAAATCAAACCAAACCAGCAATAAAAATCTTGTCGGCATTAAATAACTCATTGAGGTTGATATGGCGTAAAACAAAGCAAATCAAACCAAACCAGCAATAAAAATCTTGTCGGCATTAAATAACTCATTGAGGTTAATATGGCGTAAAACAAAGCGAATCAAACCAAACCAGCAATAAAAATCTTGTCGGCATTAAATAACTCATTGAGGTTAATATGGCGTAAAACAAAGCAAATCAAACCAAACCAGCAATAAAAATCTTGTCGGCATTAAATAACTCATTGAGGTTGATATGGTGTAAAACAAAGTAAACCAAACCAAACCAGCAATAAAGATCTTGTCGGCATTAAATAATTCATTGAGGTTGATATGGTGTAAAACAAAGCAAAGCAAATGAAACCATTATAAAACACTTTGTCACAGCTGACAAGTTTGTAGAAAGCAGTCAGGACGTAAAGCCAATTTGGAAAATGGCTAGGTAATAAAGTTTTGTCTTGACGGAGAAGAGCAAAAAACTGCCCTTCATCTTCCTGAGAGTCCCAACCTAGATCCTTGCTACTTTTGGTTGTTCCCCAAGCTTAAGGAGAACCATAGGGGTTGTCGTTTTGAAGACACTGATATGATGAAGAAGGGTGTGACAAGGTGCCTGGATACATTCTTTGGATGACTTTCCATGGGGCTTTCAGGAAGTGACTGGAGTGCTATAACAAGTAAACTGAAGTCAGAGGATTCTAACTTGAAAGAGATTAGAGTTTTGTACTTCTTTGGAATTAAAAAAAAAACGTCTGAAAAAGTCTCAAAACTTCTGGAATGGGTCTCGTATATACGTTAGCATTTTCTTCTGTTCACTCGGTTGGCGGATGGCCGTTCGTTATTCAGAAAATACGTAACGGTCGATTTATCTTTTGCCGAACAATAACATGTGATATTGTCATCGGATGTACAATCGTCGTCTTTATATTTTGATGTTCACCAAAACACTGCAAGTTTCCTCCGGCTTCCTGCGCCATTTTCAATTTCGACAACGTCCCTTTCCCCTTCGTCGGTCTCGGAACCAGGCAAGAAATCGTCTCTTCACAATTCCAAATCATTTATTCTAAACAAATGCCGCCCAGTCTCGTCCGCCATTTTTTTATTTCCCACCCTTTTAGTCCTCAGCGCCGTCGTTAAAAAGTTGAGCTTTTTTTACTTCTATTATCGTTATCTGTTTTCAAAAATGAAAAAAAAAAAAAAAAACAATGTCCCCAATAAATTCCTCCATCACCTTATTTTGGAGTTTAACCCTGAGTTAGTCACCCCCGATTTCCGAAAATGGATACCCCCCCCATACAAAAACGCTTATAATGTTACAGCTATGTAAAACATTGTCGGTAGATGAAGTATTTGCCACTAATATGTGTGGTCAGTATTTGGCACTAGGCAAAAACTGACATCTTGAATGCTAATTTTTAATGCAAACAGGCCCATCTTCTTGGAAGGTTAATCTTTTTCACTTATTTTTCCATCATGCTGTCAACTTCTTCAAACTGGGAAAACGAAATTAAATTCTTTTATATCAATAAGCTTCTGTATATCTGGTTCAATTAATGAGGGAGTAAACTGAAAACTATAAACTATAATTTCAAACTGTAGTTATAATAAGATATGACTATACAATCTAAAAAGGAGTGTTACTAACTTTTGTGTTGGTTTTGTTGATGATGTTCCTAAAATAAGTAGTGAAATAGTATACTGCTTTGCATTTTCTATCCATGTTGAATATTTTAAATTCATTCATTTATATTGTTAAGAGACTCTATTTTTATGGATGGAATTGCACCGAGTTTTGGGTCATTCAGACCAAAGAATTCAAATAACTTTGTTGTGATCAGATGACCTTAAAAAATTAACATAACAACCAATCTCCGTGACAATATACAGGGTGGTCTTGTCACCCTTACCAAAACGTAAGGAGAACAATACAGTAACACAGTGTAAATGTACTGAATTCAGTTTATTCTCTTTCATCGACGAATGATGGCTTAAACGATTTCAAATTAAGATCCTCTGTCATGTGTGTTAACATTGTGGTTTTGGAAATTCCTAGCTCGGAAGATCGTTTTCGTAGTGACTTCTTGGGTGATTGTAGAACAGGAGCTTCCTCTGCACATGCGTCCCTTCGCGTTGGGGGATCGTCCTGTCCTCGGTTTGTCCTTGATTGATCCTGTGAGAAACAGTTTATGTTCCCATCGCAGTATCGTCCAAGATTTTCCAAGCCCACTTTTCTCATTACGTGTCCCAGAAATTTCAGCTGCCTCTTTGTTTGCAACCTCTCCAAAACCTTATCGTTGCTCACATGTTCGGCCCATGGTATTTTAGCATCCTTCTGTAGAATCCGTTGCCTCTTCATCTTTGAGGAGACTGTCCAATATTCATTGCCGTAAAGGAGGATATATATCTTATAAAAGTTCAGTACTCTTTTCTTTGTTACCAACGAACCCCTCCTGACTCGTAATACTTTGCTTATCATTTGGAATACGTCTTTGAACATCCCAATACGACTAACAATATTCGGTCCATGGTATCCTTAGCATCCTTCTGTAGAACCCTATCTCCGTTGCCTCGAGTCTCTTCATCTTTGAGGAGACCGTCCAACATTCGCTATCGTAAAGGAGGACAGATATCATGTAGCAGTTCATTATTATTCTTCTGTTAGCGTCAAAACCCACCTTTTTCGTAATACTCTGCCTAGCTTTTGGAATACGTTTTTGGCCATCCCAATACCTCTTCGGATCTCAGCGTCACTCTTCCCAGATATTTAAATATCCGCACCTGCTTGATTTTAGTGTCCCCGCCCTATAAATCGCATTTCGCGCTATTGAGTGCAACAAAACACCCATACGACTTAGTGACTCAGTCTTTCTTTGCTTAACTTCCTCTAGGCTTGAAGTAAGGTGATATAGTCCTGTCATTTCACATAGACCCATTGGAAAAAATCAGGTGAACATGGTGGGCATTTCAACAGCACATTATCATTACCACTGGCACGCCCGATCCATCTTCCCGGCAGATTCTCATAGAGATATGTCCGCACTGGGGCACTGGAGAATCTTACGCAAGACGTGTTTGACAGAAGCTGGACCGACTTGATGTGTGCCGTTTCAAAAGTGGTGCGCAAAAAAGGAACATTTTTGAAGCTTTGTGAAATCTCTATCTTTAAAATGCAGGATGTGTGTGTGTGTGTGTGTGTGTGTGTGTGTGTGTGTGTGTGTGTGTGTGTGTAACGAATGCATGGCCGCAATTTTCGACGGATTTGCACCAAAATTTACATGCACATGCTCCAAGTTAGCGAGAAGGCCAAGACCGACTTTGCATTTCCCAACTCCCATCGATAGTGGAAATAATCAATTTTTTCATGCTTCTACGGCAGTTTTCATGTAGTTTGCGGTCATTTTCTACTGGCCAGAGTGAGGGCCTTTAGCTGGCTGCCACGAATAGGCAGAAAGATTCTATTGGCCAGCGTGAGAGCCAACAGCTGACTGACACGAATGTTAACTAGCATGCAAAAAATCGATAGCTGCATTCGTCACAAGTGGGGAAAAATTTAAATCTGCATGGCACTTTACTCCAATTGGCTCATTTGCTTGCTTAAACTCAACGTTGATTCTGATTCCGCAGAACTGGGTTGGGTGTGAAAAAGTATTTGTTGTTAACATTCATTCGGTTTTTCCAGTTACGAGTCCTTTTTTAAAGCTGATCGTTTTGTGTTCATTTTGTTTAGTTCTTTTTTCGTTACAGATTTAATGTTTAGTATAGAGCTTGGAAAAAATTCGCAGTGTGAGATAGGCAAAAACTTACTTCTTGCCTATCTCACACTGCCCCCCCTTTTTGCATGTAGCAACATCAGCACGGCAAAGGGCACCCCTTTCAAGGCAAGGAAGGATAAAAAAAAGTCAAGTGATAGCGATTGCTGTATCAGTTGTACGGTTTTTTAATCAAGCATGGGCAACGCCGGGCCATGCTACTAGTTTATAATATAAATTTCACTGTAGACTTAGTTCATCTTCAGTAGGTTTATTCTTTATTAGGACCCGCAAATTAATGGCTTTTTGCTAGACTGTTATAAGTTTTGTTATACCCGTATGTGCCTTGTCTGTGAGTGCCATTTTGGTAACTGCTTGTCATCAGATGGCCAACTAAAGATGAAGAGGCGTGCCTTTCTTTACGCTAAGGCAATTATGGACAAATTTATAAGTGGAGAGAACAAAAATAAAAGCCTTGTATGTTACAAAGTGGATGAATTAGAAAATCTTCAATAGATAGACTGACTATTATTAAAGAAGCAACAAACCGCGAAAAAACGGAATTTCATTTTATCACGTACGCTTTTTGAACTGCGAGGGGACAAGCCTATTGCTCATTCGGTAAACCCGGTCCATCTATCGTTTCTTCTCTCCACAACTCATTGTCCTTTATGCATACTTTCTATTCATCTAGTAGACTCTGAAGAGTCTCTCTTTTATCTATCTCTCATATATATATATATATATATATATATATATATATATATATATATATATGTATGTATGCTTGGAAACAAAAATTATGAATGTATGTGCTTTTAAAACTCAGTAAATTTTAAAATAAGTTATTCCAAAATTCGCTTGAAGATGCAACAGAACTAATGCTTTTAATTTAATGATATAATTAAATTTGAAGTTTTTAGCTTTGGTTTTTGAAACATGGTAATTCCTGTGTAGCGAAGGAACCATATTTTTAAATCTGTTAATTTATAATATTTATGCTCTTTAAATTTACATTGAGCAATGTTTTGTAAAAATAAAAATATCAATCTGAACTCCGGATTATATATCTTTCTTTTTTTACTATAATATATATATATATATATATATATATATATATATATATATATATAAGGGTGTTTCACTAAAACGGATCAAATTCAGCAGTAAATAAATCATTGTTATTGATGATAATTTATTTATTTTTCTATTGGATCATGTTATTTAAGTCATGGCAATTATGCGTGGAAAAGAATATTGCCCAAATATCCGCCGAGGCTTTGGCGGTACACCTCCACTTAATGGTCAAAATTTTTGATGACGTCTCTGCATAGTTGCTCCTCGATCTCACCAATATGCCTTATCATCTCTTCCTTCAGCTGTTGAACTGTTGTTGGCTTGTTGGCGTAGACCTTATTTTTGAGATGACCCCAAAGGAAGAAATCTAAAGGCATCAGGTCACACGATCGTAGTGGTCAATTGACTTGGCTGTTTCGAGAGATGATACGACCTGGGAACTTCTCATTTAAATTCTGTTTGAATGTCCATTTTCGTAATAGGCTTCAATAACTTTAACACGTTGTTTGATTGTTAATCTTTCCATAGTTGAAATTGCCAAAAACGTAAGTTGTTAAATCTGAAAGAAAAAGAAAAATATATCTTAAACGATTAAACTTATTTAATTCACATTTAAAATCGGTCTAAGTTATTGGGGCACCCTATATATATATATATATATATATATATATATATTACAATGTATCATTCATACAAAAATAGATTAGTAAAGTTAATGATATAAAATGGCGAAATCCTTTCGCAAACAAAATTTTACCGTTGCATTAACCTAAAAATCACTCGATGAATGTTGTGATCCTTGTTTTTAATAATTATAAGCTGTATAAGGTCTTTCTTTAATATGCAAGTACTTTCAACTGTACATTCAGTCATCCTCTGGCATGGAAATTATTTTGTTTTTAGTAAAATCCAGGTAGCATCAGAAAAAATTAAATGCGAAATAGGTTTTTTTTTCTTTTTTTGTTTTTTAAATGTGTTATTGTTAACGCATACAAACTTTTGGAGCGAGCAGTCGCTCAGATCGAATTTTTTTAAATTTAAGAGAGTGCGCTTTTTTTTCTTTTTTTTTTTTTTGTATGAATGATTCATTGTAATATAAATTGAACTGCACCACATATTTGATATATATATATATATATAATATATAGACTGACGTTCAATACTATTTAGCTACAAATGAAGTGTCTGGATAGCAAAGACAAATTACTGTTTTTAAACAACAAATTTCTCATGATTCTTCTCGAACGCTCATATATTATGAAATGGGCTAAGCCGGACAATATTTAAAGTTATTTGTTTACGTTCAGATACACTTCGAGCAGATATGAACGTTCGAGAAAAATCATGGGAAATTTGTTGTTGAAAAACAGTAATTTGACTTTGCTAACCAGACGAATCTTTTATAGCTAAATGGTATAACACGTCGGCTATATAACCGATCCGTGTAGGATATAGGTTCGATTCCTGTCAGAGGACGCATATTTCCTATGACATTTCTCGGACATTCCGGCCGGTAAATGTAGTTCATACTGTTTATCATAAACAGAGCATTTACTTAAATATTTGTATCTATAAAAATAACATACAAAGAGAAAATATATTAACATAATTGTCGGACTTTGTCCATTTCATAATGTATGACGTCATTTGTTTACATTTGGATATGCATCGAGCAGATATGAATGTACTTGAGAAAATCATGGAGAATTGTAGTTTAAAAACAGTAAAAATCGACCTTGCTAACCGAAACACTCCTCTGTGGCTCAATCGGTAAAAGCACGTCAGGCTATATGACGGTCCCGTGTATATATATATATATATATATATATATATTGCTGTTATACCATGATGAGTGGACGGAGTGATTGCTCGAGCGTATATAATATAAGATATATAATATACATATATATATATATATGTGTGTGTGTGTGTGTGTAATGTGTATGTATATATATATATGTACATATGTAATTTATATATATTCATATATATATATATATATATATATATATATATATATATATATATATATATATATATATATTATATATATATATGCGCGGTTCTTATTGGAAAGTGCTCAATATCAGTGATAGAGCTAACATAGTTGTATTGATATAAGTTTGTAACCCTGGGTTTCACAATCTTACGATCGTCATATATATATATATATATATATATATATATAATTATTTATTTAAAAATTATAACATAAATATGTTATAAAATTACTACAAAAATATATATATATATATATATATATATATATATATATATATATATATATATATATATATATATATTTAAAGAATTTACCGTTTTTTATTCATTAATCCAAGAGATTTTATTACTTAGACGTTATTTTTAGTTGATATCCATATTTAAGTAGACGCTCCGTTTATTTATTAAACTGTATATTTATTTATTTTCGTCTACTGGATTAAATATTTAATAAATCTTATTAAATGAAAAATTTACGACAGGGAAAACCGCCATTAGACTCGACGTGCCTCGTCGACGAAGTGCCTCGTCGATCAATAGTGCCTCATAGACGCAAGTTTTTTCCAGACTCTCGAACTTTCCATAATCTGCTCAGTTTCATATCCTAACGTAAACAAAGCAATTTCTAAAAAAAAAAATGATGGATTTTTATTTATTATTCCGACAAATTTTATTACTTAACGACATTGTTTCACTTCTTTTTTTTATTCTTTCCTATATGCCTTACTTTGCCTTTTCTTCCGTTCTTGCTTTCTTTTTTCTTTCTTTCTTTGCTCTATTTCTTTCTTTTTTTTTCTTTTTTTCATTTTCTTTTTTAATTCCTGTCGACGCTCCTTGCTTTCCTTTGCTTTCCCTTACTTTCTTTCTTTCTTTCTTTCTTTCTCCGTCGCATTTTTTCTTTTCTTTGCTTTTGCACTTTCTTTTTTTTTCATACCTGTCTACGTGATTTGCTTTCCAGTTCTTTCTTTTATCTTCCTTCCTTTCCTTTTCATTCATCTTTTTTTTCTGCTTTGTTTCACTTGCTTTTTTTCTTTCGTTTCTACGTGTATAATTTCCCCCGCCTCACTCTTTCGCTCTCATTTTCTTTCCTCCTTTCACTCTCTCGTTCTTTTATTTTTTTTTTTTTCACTCTTTCTTTCTTTCTTTCTTTCTTTCCTCCTTTCATTCTTTCCTCCTTTCATTCTTTCTTTCTTTCTTTCTTTCTTTCTTTCTTTCTTTCTTTCCATACGTGGGTGTTATCGGCTCGGCTACTTCACCATATCTGACCAAATGATCAATTTGTTGAATTTTAATCTAAAAATGTTCCGTCTCTATGAATAATGTCTGTTATTAAATTAAGTACATTAACAACGAAGGAAATTATATTAAAAAATTAATATTTGTAGTATTAAAAAATCCTTTTTATACGGACATATTGATGAAATTAATTACATTTTCGTCAGTACCTCGAGCTGAAGTAAAGGTGCTTCGCACTGGAGCTTGAATTGAATGAACCTTCAACAGAGAATTTGGTTCTCACTGGATGCTCCGTACTTGTAACCTTGTGTCGAACTAAGTTCAAATGAAAAACAAAATGACATTTGGTGAACCAATATTAAAATCATTTTGCGAGACCCTTATCCAAGGGAAGTTACTCTTAAAAATATATGTAAGTTAGCTCCCTTGCAATTATCTGCTCAAAATGAAGAAGTTGATTTCTTGCTAATAAAATCTCTCAGCGAAGAGAACTCGGGTGCATTTTCTGCAACGTTAAGCTTGGATTATCAATATCAGACCCTCAACTTAATTAATCCCTGTGTTAGATACTAAAATACTGGCAAAAAAGGAAGAAGGACCAATAAACTGCTTATGAAAGCAAATAAAACAAAAAGAAAACGACAAGCAAACTGGTCCACTCGTAAAAATTAGAGAAAAAAATTTTGTGGAAATCATTTTAGTAGATTAGCATCTATTAGCCATACATTTGTAGATTAGCATTCATTAGACTTTCATTTGTAGATTAGCATTCATTAGACCATCATTTGTACGTTAGCATTCGCTGGTCTTTCATTTGTAAATTAGCATTCATTAGCTATTCATTTGTATATTAGCGTTCATTTTGTTGTAGATTAGCATTAATCAGCCCTTCAAATGTTCATTAGCAATCATTAGACTCATTTGTAAGTTAGAATTTTTTAGACATTCATTTTTAGATTAATATTCATTAGACTTTCATTTCTACATTAGCATTCATTAGCCGTTCATTTTCAAATTAGCATTCATAAGACCCTCCGCAAAGCAACGACATTTGTCGGAATCGTAAAATATTGATTTTCTTTTAGCATTTTTATAAGGCGGCTGTCCATAATATCTGTTGCGGGATTCTAATATATTTGGGCAAATGTTAGTCACTGTTAAGTTACAGGAATCAACACTTTGCAGAGTTAAGATTTACGGCCTCCTGAGAAACGTATCCCCCCCAAAGAATATTGGCGGACTCAATGTGAGTCCCAGTTAAAAAAAAAAAAGTAACATAAAACAATAAATATAAAACAAATGACATTGAATGTATTTATAGAATTACATGTGACGAAGGGGAAAATATGAAATTAGCTATAAGAATGCGTGTGTGTGTGTGTGTGTTAAAATATAGTTTTAACGTATGCTGTATTTATGGGTAAAATATATATATATATATATATATATATATATATATATATATATAATGTGCGTGCTAAAATATAGTTTTAACGTATGCTGTATTTATGGGTAAAAGTATATATATATATATATATATATATATGTGTGTGTGTGTGTGTGTGTGTGTGTGTGTGTAAAATATAGTTTTAACGTATGCTGTATTTATGGGTAAAAGTATATATGCGCGCGCGCGCGCGTGTGTGTGTGTGTGATAATAAGATGGCGACATTAATTAGCCATTTCGATTATAAATGTATTTTCTGAACACCGAAATGTTGAACTCTTCGGATTAAAATCTTCTCCGTAAAATTTTACGGAGGAACCATTTAAATTAAAGCCTCCGTCTTTTTATTATCATTATAATGCTCTGTAGTGTACATTGAGCTCTCCCTGTATTTCCATCCTCCTTGGAATTATCCCTTCCATTCACAAACTGCTAAGATGTATATATATATATATATATATATATTGTTAAATATAACAGACAACGAATGTTTATTACGTTTTATCATGAACCTTTTCCAAGCGTCGTATAATGGCTTTCGTTTCAAGTGGAAATAAAAGTCAAAACTGTCCAGCATTTGAATATTTCTTTATGTCGTTGATCTGAGCCATCATCAGAATGGTTATATGAACATTACGACAGAGATGTTCACCGTCAAAGATGACATCCTGTTTTCTTTACGTAGAATTTTGCTATGCGACGATAACGATGGCGGAGTAGCAGACACAGGTCGTAAATTCGTAATGCGCTTCTATGACGTCATACATTGTCACGTGAGAGAAAGAAAAGTTATCAACAGTACCATGTGTTTAAATGCTTTGTAATATGTTGTGGCTGGTTTGAAATGTAATTTTGTTGAGTGTCGGTTGCTTTGCTTTAATAAATACAGGGTGTCCATAAAGTTCGTGTGCACTTTAAAAAATTTATAACTTTATTTGTATTTGCGATAGAAATAATTTTTAAAAAGGATTAGAAAGAAGTAAATCTATATTTTTTAAGGTTTTATTGAAATTTCATTTAAAGTTTCCACATGTCCTCCATCATTAGCAATACAAAGGGTAATATGATTTTACAGTTCATGGAAAACATTTGCCAACTGATTTACAGTAATGCCTGAAATCACATTAGTTATTTTAGCTAGACTTAAAACTAGGTACATTAAAACGTTTTTTACAGATTATTTCTATCGCAAATACAAATAAAGTTATAAATTTTTTAAAGTGCACACGAACTTTATGGACACCCTGTATATATATGAATAAAGACAAATTGCAAAAATGTTATTTGCCGGCGCGATTTGTCTTCTGATATGAAATAAAAGAATTTTATTTTTCAACATGTATTTTTCTAAACGGAAATTAAAAAAATTAAATTCTAGAACAATCATAAATATTTTTCAGGTTAACTTTGATAGTCAAGGTAGACAATGTCGAAGGTAATCTTTGTCAGTGTGGTGACTTCTCGCGTCGGTAAAATACAGTTGTTCCTCTTGTATTTATTCCTATTTTCTTTTTAGAGATGTATATAGTTTGGACTTTTGGTCTGGCAAAATAGTGTCTCTTATCAGCAAACGCCTTTGCTGTTTGAACGTATGAATTGCTCCAGATGTAAGGTCTGCAAAATTTAAAGAAAATGGAGGAAAAACCTGGATGATACTCTAAAGAATTAACAGACGTAGGAATCCGCAGAAACAAGATAACATTGTTTTATATTAAAGTTAAAAAAAAATCAGGGGCGTCGATGTACCCGCGAAAAGTTCATGAAAACGAAACCTGCCTCATTACGACAAACATAGGAATCATACTTATTATAAAACCCAGGTTGTGTGTGTGTGTGTGTGTGTGTGTGTCTGTTTCGTTTATATATTGGATCGGATTTCCTACATTTTTCAACCGATTTCAACAAAACTTCACAGGACTACGTAAAATTACCTTGCGGTAGTTCTGACAGCACCAAAAATTGGAAAAACACAATTGTTTTTGCACGAAATCAATTTGAAAACACGATTAAGAGGCATCACTGTCGAGAATGGAAGGGGGACAACTCATATCGAGTTATACTTATTATAAAACCCAGGTTGGTTGTGTGTGTGTGTGTGTGTTCGTTTATATATGGGATCGGATTTCCTACATTTCAACAACCGATTTCAACAAAACTTCACTTTTTTTTTTTTGCAGGTAGTGTTTCTTATTGTCTTGCAAACTTTCTTCTTTATTTTTACATTCAGAATGCTTTAAAAATTCCATTTCAAGACAATTGTTTATAATAAAATTCTATTCAATCGGTAGACTCATAACGATTGAAAACAATGCTTTTGTTTGAGTTTGGGTTTGACCAATTCGTAAAAAAAAAACACTAACAAAAAACAAAAAAAAAAAAAAGACATGCGTGTCCGTCAACCTTAAACAATAAACTTTGTCAATTTTATTTTTCCATCCTTATGATGGTCGATACTTGATCTATCTCTTGCTGTTACATCCCCGGGCAACGCCGGGCTCTACTGCTAGTGGACTAATAAATTGGGTATATTG